CACACATCGCTATTGTAAGCTGCTCTCTTGTGAAAGGTCAGTGATTTAGAGTGGCTGCAATTGGGTCCAGGATTACGCTGTGAAAAAGCCAGCAGCCTGACTCAAGTCAAAGGTATTTTGTGAAAATGTAGTTAGTAGTGAGGAAAGGTTAGAAAATCCAAAATATGCCATGTAGGTAGGGTTTACTAAACTGGGAAAACCGGATTGGTAATCTAGAGAGTATTAAAAGTTAGTGAGGAAAAGTAGGGATGGAAGAAAGGAAAACAGGTAAGATAAGGCCTAGGAGATACAGTTGTTGGGGGAACGAGCCGCCCAAGTCAGAGATGTGCTTCTGATGAGGAAACACAGTGTGTTGGTTATTTCTGTCAGCTGCTCAGAGGAACCTCAGCCGAGCAATTTTCTCCATCAGATTGGCTCGTGGGCACGTCTGTGAGGGATTATCTTTTTCTTCCTTCCTTCGTTTCTATCTGTCTTATGTATATTTCTTCTTTTCTTCTTCTTCTTCTTCTTCTTCCTCCTCTCCCTCCCCCCTCCTTTTTTTTTTTTTTTTTTTGAAACAGAGTCTCACTTATGTTGCCCTGGCTAGCCTGGAACTCACCATGTAGACTAGGCAGGCCACAATCTCAGAGGTCTGCCGGCTTCTGCCTGTCAAGAGCTGAGATTAAAGGTGTACTCCACCACATCCAACTATTTTCTTGATTGATGATTGATATAGGAGGGCCCAGCCCACCGTGAGAGGTAGAAGCCCTGGGCTGTATGAGAAAGCAGGCTGAACAGACCACGGAAAGTGAGACAGGAAATGACCTCTGCTTCTGATCTTGCCTGCAGGTTTTAGCTTTGAGCTGCTGCTCTGACTTCCCTTGATGACACATTGGAACCTGGAAGTCAAATAAGCTCTTTCTTCCCCGAGTTGGTTTTGGTCAGTGTTTTGTCAAAACAGCAGAAAGCAAAGCAGAAGAGAAGACATAGTCCATGTCCAAGGAGAAGCAATTCTGTAAGAAGGTAGACAGAGGTGTAGGAGGGCATTTAGGATGATCAGTTTTCCTGGTTATAAAGTCAGAGTGTCAGTAAAAGCCTCGAGGACCAGGAGGTGGAAGTGTCCTTGAAGGTCCTGGTGTTTCAGGTAAAGTAGCCCTGCCTCGGTAGACAACGCGTGTGAGAGAAGGCAGAGCAGGCGCAGGCGTGGGCTGACTGGAGGCTGGAGAGCCCGGCTGACGAGCCACATATAGAATGTGGTGCGGCTGTGGGAGTGGCGAGGTGTGGCCGGAAACCAGCAGGATGGAATGTGAAGGCTCAGGAAAGAGAGAGGAACATCTTGGTTTGTGAGCTTTTTTCTGCTTTGGCAGGCATTTAATTCTTGGCATCAAAATAATGTCATTCAGTGCTCAGTACCACACACACACACACACACACACACACACACACACCCCTCTATCCACACATACCAGTATTATACATGTACATTTAATCTCCAGATCCTCATTTCCCACATTCAATCTATAGCACCATACACATACACACACACACACACACACACACACACACACACACGGTTGGGGGAGATATTGATTCAAAGTTCCAGTGTCCTATGAGAGATAAAATCTTCTCTGTCCTTGGCACAGTTGGGGAAGTTAAGTGATCTAAAATAAAATTTCCACTTCTTGTTTTAGAAACAGACGATGGCAGAAACACAGAGACACACTAATTGAACGAATGCTTTTTAGTACCATATTAGGTCAGATGCGGGCCAGGGGATAATGAGCACATACGGATAGGATCTTCTGCTCAGAGTCCCTGGGGTTACTATTTTAAGAAGAAGCCCTATCATGTAATTGTCTCATGAGTGCTGGGATTACAAATGTGGACCGCCATGTCTAGTTTGTGTTGGTACTGGAATCAAACCCAGGGCTTCACGTATGCCAGGCAAGCACTCCACTAACAGAGCCTCATACCTACTTCTCCTTTCTTGGCTTTTTAAAAAGCTCATGCTGACCTCGAACTCACTGCATAACCGAGATGATCTGGGACTCCTGATCCTCCTTTATTTATCTCCCAAGTGCTAGGATTCAGGCATGAGCATCCATGCCTGGCTCTGTGTAATTTATAGAAGTTCCTGAGCAACGAAGACACAAATTCGTAATATTATTCTCTTTAGAAAGTGTTCCTGCAGCGGAGTGATTTGTGATATGCATCGCTACTACTTGGCTTATGGACAATACAACACAATAGTGTTCATTGTAAACAATTCAACTAATTCATAGCCTAATGAAATGAAAAGACGCTTCTCAAAAGATTAAAGCATAATGCCTCATACATATATGAAAAAAGTTTAATATCACTAGTCTTCAGAGAATGCAAATTCAAATGACGCTGATATTCCATCTCAAGCCTGTCAGAATGGCAGTCATTAAGGCAATGAATAATAAGGCACCCAAGCCTGTAATCACAGGATCCAGGAGCTAGAGGTGGGCGGATCAACATCATCTTTAGCTACAGAGCAGTAGGAAGCCAGCCTGGCATGTACAAGAACCAGTCTCAGAAACAAATGAAACAACTGGCAATAAAAAAGGGAACCTCTCTGGGCCTCTGGTGGTGCGTGACTTACCCTTAGCATTCAGGAGGGGGGCAGAGGCAGGCAGAGCTCTCTGAATTTCAGGTCTACCTGGTCTATATTATCAGTTCTGGGCCAGTCAGAGTCATATAGTGAGAATCCAGTATAAAAGAAGAAAAAATAAACCAAAACTAAAGTGGGGGAAACCCCATACAATGTTGATGGGAATGAAATAATGTAGCAACTATGGAAATCAGCATGGAGGTTCCTCAACGTATTAAAAACAGGTAGATACCACATGACCAAACTGTACCACTCAGGGTATTTACCCATAAGACTCCAAGCTGACATGTCACAGGGACGTTTGCATATCAATGTTTACTGTAGTATAGTCACAATAGCTAAGTGATGGAACAAACCTAGGAGTCTACCAACAAAGAAGTGGATAAAAACATGATATATATATATATGTGTGTGTGTGTGTGTGTGTGTGTGTACATATACACATAGATATACATATAGGTATACAATGAACTTTTTAGTCATAAAGAAAAATAAAGTTAAATCTTGTTTACAGGAAAACAGGTACAACTGGATGCAATATTAAGCAAAGGAAGTCAGTTTCAGAAAAACAGGCATTGCATGGCTTCTCCCATCTGTGATTCTTAGATTTCATGAAGATATGTGAAGTTATGCATGTACTATGACATGAAGGTAGAACTGAAACTGGAGAGGAACAAAAGGAATTAAGGTGAAAGGCGATAGGAGGAAAGGGAGAGGGAAAAGCAGATGGGGGAAATAAAATCCAAATACACTGATACTTATATGAAAATGCCCTCATGCAATGTAGCGATATGTAGAACAAACATACACAAATGAAAATACAGAACAAAGCAACCAGTACTCAGGAGGCAGAAAATTAATTTAATTTCTGTAAATTACAGGCTCTTCTGCTTTACATAGTGAGTTCTAGACTGGCCATGGCTACACAGTGAGACCCTGTCTCAAAAATCAACCAAACCCACCAACAAAACAAAACAGAAACAAACAAACCAAAACAATACAACAACAAAACCACACCAAACAAACAAGGGTGGAGGAAGAGGGAGAGAGTTCACATTTTATTGCTCTGTGCTATGTTGATTCTAAATACAGCATTTTTTTTTTTTTGCAATAGGGGATTTCATCCAAACTACAGTAAATTAATTATATGCAGACAAAATACTCATACAGAAAAAAATTAAATAGATTTTCAAAAAATGAAAAAAAGTATTTCACAGTCAATAGGGGCCAGTTTTGAGCACGGCATGGAAAGTCAGGCATGGAGAACCAGGGATGGAAGGTACACATTTAGTTTTAGCACCAGAGAAGCAAAGACAGAAGGATCTCTGTGAGTTCCAGGCCAGGAGAGCCCGTCTTAAAAACAAAAACAGTTACAACACACAAACAAAAGCATAGAAAGGTAGCATAACTTGGAGTTCTAGCGTTTGGGAGGAGAGGAAGCAAGGTCTCAAGCTGGAGACCAACCTGGGCTACAAAGTGAGAGCCTGTCACTGACAAACAGCCTTAACATCTGGGAGACTGATACTTCTTGAAAGAGCTTCCTGTGGAAGCTCCGGGCTCCTGTGACCTGCCTATCGCACTGGCCTCCAATCCACGGCAAATAGCATTGTTACAAAGCTCTCTACAGTACACAGAATGGTCATTTGTTTGAATAGGGCCATCAGGATTTTGCTTTTTCTCTCTCGACTTTATTAATGAATTAAAGACAAGTTTTCAGAGCTGGGGATCCGGGCTTGTGCACACTAGGTAAGCAATCCGCCGAGCCTCCCCACCAGCCCCAGAGTTTAAAACATTTAAAAGAAGTACAATAGAAAAAATGCTCAGAGTGGTCACAGGTCTCTCTATAGCCCCCAAACTGCTAGTGGAATAACAGGACCCTGTCACAGGCTGATGGATAGGACACCGGCTTTAGCAGAGGGTGGGGGAGGGGATGTGAGGAAGAGGCTGTATGCCTACTTTTTTCTTGAACACACAGGATAGTCTTCATGATTAAGATTGTAATTTCCTACAATTATAATTGTTTTCTAAACAGGGATTTATTTTAAAAAAAAGATTGAGGTGGTAGAAACTTAACTGCAGCAGAAATTAGCCAAGCCAAACAAGATTATAAAACACTGCTCAGGAAGCCTAGTATTTTGAAACTAAGAACAAAGAAACAATGAAGAATTCGTTTCTGGCACCTTTTGAGCTCAACAAGTAGTTAAAAGCAAACATTTCATTTTCTTTCTTTACTGTGCTGGTCCTTGTAAAGTAGTTTTTGCCAACAGGAAAATAATTGGTGGTGTTTTAACACAGTTATTTTGTGACAGTTCCTAAGAAAACTTCAGGAGACGCTTGAATGGGATTGGTCGGAAATTGTGTCGGTCACAGAGATGGCAACACTCTTGAAGCCAGAGTAACATGCTCACTATGTAGAAGGAAAAAAAAGGAAGATTGATCAGAGTGAAATGAATCCCTTGCCCTGGCAGACAAAGAGCAGAGAATTGATGAACTAACATTTGCACACTCGGAAGTTTAGGAAGTTCTTACAAACTTCCTTAGTGACTTACAGAGCCTTGGCATGTGCCTTTGCCCAAAGAACCGTCTTGCTGACCTTAGGAAGTATTTTTACAGATAATTTTTAAAGCTTAAAAATAAATTTCTGAAAAAAATTTTCTGGGGGTAGAGAGATGGCTCACCTGTTTAAGGGGTGTGCTGCACTCACAGAGGACCTAGGTTTGGTTCCCAGCTCCCATCTCTGGTGGCTTAAAATTACCTGTAACTCTAGCTTCCGGAGATTTATTGACCTTTTATGGCCTCCACAGGCACTGGTACACATGGGTACACGAACAGGTAGGAACTCACACATACATGTAAAAATAAATACATTTCCGGCTTTCATGGTTTTGTCTTTGGAAGACACTGCTGACTTTAAGACCGATAGTTTTCAGTTTTATCTCTCTGCTGTTCCACCCTTCTCCCTGAGCCTTGCCCTATTCATAACATATATTTTTTAAAGCTCTTATACACCTGACATTGTGTATTTCAGGCTGTTTATTATGTGTTTATGTTCTGCCTTTGGGTTAGAATGCAATGTCACTGAAGATAAGGGCTATGAATTTTTTATTCGTGTTGTTTGCTTGGTAGGAGACAATGAACATATTGCTCAATAAGTATTCGTCGACTAAAGCAAGGCAGTGTGCTGTGCTTTCAATGCTGTGCAGCTGGCATCAGCTGTGCAAACTAAATGTTTTCCTTGGTTCTGCTTGGACACTGTAATCGTAAAGGTTTGATCCACTGTGAATCTTAACAATTCCTGTTTCAAAATCGCCAAGGCAACCCTTTGGAGGCAGGAAAGGATGCCCTTAGCAGGCCTATGGGAGACAGTGAGAAGAGATATTTACAAAGTTACTGCTCCAGCCAGGTACTTGTTCTACACCGCACAGACTTCTTTCAACACATCTAAGAGTTGAAGTGCCAGTCAGGTTCTTTAACTCAGGACCTACAAAAAAAATAAATGGCAGGTTTGAGTTGTAGAGACCCAACTAGGCCTGGTCCCAAAGGGCAAGACAGTTTTAAGTGTCGAGTAGCTGTAAGAATTCCATGACTTAATTTCTCTGAAAAGCACCAGGCACGACAGTCGGCAGTCCACACATTCTGCTCCACATATTCGCTCAGGAGCTGAAGTTGATTTTTTTTTTTTCCCAACTAGGAGCGGAGAAAAGAAAAAAAGAAAGGAAAATAACGCTGAATTAATAAAATTTGTCTATAATTCGAAGAAAGCTCCTGTCTGATTACAGTAGTCCTAAGCCGACCTTCATGTTGAGTCTAGAAAAAAAAAAATGCCTGGCAATGTTTCAAACCATGATGCCTAATTTAGAATAACTTCTATTTCAAAACAGGGACTAGGAAGTCGTCTTTGGCCAACAAGAGACTCAAGGAATACGGTAATGTATTCCTATGAAACAAGTCACTTCGTGCCCCCTCCAGTCCCGCAAAGGAGAGCGCGTGCTCTGCAGGTGGACTGTGGGGTCCCCACGTTTGCCGGGCCTGCCTTGAACTTCGAAATCAAAGCGCTCGCTCCCCTAGTTGTCCCCTCTTAGATTTCCCACAAGCTACGTCTTTGGAGGAAAGAGAGCGGGGCAACCCAGGCTCACTTCGCGGAACCCCGTCGGTACCCGTCTGGGTCGCGCGCCCCACGCAGACCCCGCGCGCCCGCAGCTCGCCGCACCTGGAGGAGGGCGGCGCGCGCCCCCGCCGTGACGTCACCGCACCTGGCACCAGCTGCGGGAGCCGGGATGGCGCGCGGGGGCCCCAGGGGGCGTGGCCGAAAAAAAAATCCCAGATCATTCTCGCGAGATTTCGCCCCAGCCGGGTCCCAACGCTCGGCGCACCGGCTCGTGCATAGCACCCGGGTCTCGAGCGGGGTGCGCTCGGCCTCTGAGGGAGTGGGTGCGGGGCGGGCCTGCCGGTGCCTCCGAGGCGAGCGGAAGCGACCGGGAACCGCGGCGGAGGGCGCCGCGTGCGCACGCGCGGACGCCGCTCGCTCCCGCCTGCCGGGGACCGCGGCGGAGACCGGGCGTGAGGAGCGGCGGAGCGCGCTCGCGGGCGGATGGAGGCGCCTCCCCGCCGCCCCTGAGCCGGTGCACAGGAGAGGCCGCGCGCCGGGCCGCGCTCTCCCCGCCAGAGCCGCAGCATGGGTAAGCATCGTCGCGCCGATCGGCGACGGGGCTCGTACGCGGGGCGGGGCGGGTCGGACGCTTCCCCCTCGGCGGTTCTCTGCGGGACAACGGGGCTCGAACCCGTGACCGGCCGCCCTGCGCTCTCCGGGAGCCTCCGGCTTCGATGGGGGAGGGCGATCGCGAACTTGACAAAGTGGCGCCGGCAGCTTTGCTCCTCCGAGGCTGGGCACACATTGTGTTTTTAAGAAAGAAAGAAAGAAAGAAAAAAGAAAGCTCTCACACCCCCACGTCCATTATGCCCACACAGACATTTTGTCGTCGAGAGCTGGAAGCGCAGAAAATAGTTAAGTCTGCCATTTGCCGTTGGCTGGCGTTGGCAGTGATTTGTGCCTCTTCTTCCTTCCCCTTCCGTGGGTAGTTTGGGAAGTGTTTTCCTGGCAGTCTCCCCGGTCAGGTGTGCTGGCATTTAGCAGTCCGTCGAATTTCCACCTGAGGGCTGTCTTGGGGGTTCGGTCTTCGAGGATTCCCAGCCGAACCTCTGGGGGAGCAGTTTCCTGTTTGGAGCGAGACTTCCTCCTCGCCGGGGAGAAAAAGTACAGGGCCCACAAGGTTGTTTTCTGGGTCGTCTTGGGGTTTTCTTTTGGCCTTAGAGAAGGCTTGAGTGTGTTGCAGGCAGGGCTCTGTGAAAAGGAGTTTTGTTAAGTGCTGTAACAGTTTTCTTTTGATAACAAAGTTTTGCCTGGGCTAGGCACTGACTCCCTCAGATGTCTACGAATTAACAGAAATAGTTTTTTTTTTAAAAGCTATTAAAGACAATTAAAGATAGGGCATTTTTTTTTCTTTTTAAAATCAGATCTGTCTCACCATAAGGCAAGTGTGTGTTGAGTTAAGTTGTGAAACCCGAATTTGGTTTTGTGGTATAAATCAGGAAGAGGTTATATCTCTTACTCAGTTGAAATTTGGTGCTGCTTCAACCATTGCTGAAATCAATAATTCATGAAACAAACGGAGGATTTAGAAGCACGACCAAAACAGGAGTCGTGCTGATGTGGCACCCTGTGCCCACACTTTGTTCCGTGGGAGACGAATTTAGCTAGTGTTTACAGACACTGCCTTTCTGTTTTCTTAGACTTTCATATTTTATGCTCTCTCTGCTTCCCTCCTTCTTTTTGTCTCTTTTCTATACCAAGTGCTCCTTAACCCAGGAGCCAAGCATTTGCTGCTGGGGACCTTCAAATGGTTTCCTTTCCACTTGATTAGTTGAGTTTACGGGGTAATTGCAGGCTTATTGAAGCATCAAAAGCTAGCTTAACTGATTTGGATTAAAAGCTAAAACGAAGTATACAATTCTTATCTGTCTTAAATCAGGATGCAGAATGTAATTAAACATCTTTTGATGCTCTAGAATAATCATTTTGTGACTTTGAGTTGCTGTGAGCCCTTTAACCACCTTGCATCCTTTTGGTTTTTTGAGACAGGGTTTCTCTGCAGCTTTGGAGCTTGCTCTGGAAATAGCTCTTGTAGAGTAGGTTGGTCTCGGACTGACAGACCTTCCTGCCTCTGCCTTTGCCTCTCCGAGTGCTGGGATTAAAGGCGAGTGCCACCACTGCCTGGCCTACCTTGGCTCTTGTGTAGACTGTAGGGCCCTGTGCTGAAGAACAGACTTACTCCTTTGCAGTTTGCAGTTGTTGTAAGTGCACTTTCTCCTGTTGTTGGATGGACAGTATTGCACCTGTGATCAGTATCTACTTTCACCTTCCCCTTTCTCGCTGGGTTTTTTCAAACTGTGGAAATAAATTAAATTTGTCATTTGTCATAGTGGAAATCAGTGGCCCCATAACTTGAATATAAGGTCGTCGTTGTCTTTTTTTTACAAGACAGGTTCTTACAGTGTAGTTCTGGCTGCCCTGGAACTCATTTTGTAGACCAGACTGGCCTTGAACTCAGAGATCCACCTGCCTTACAAGTGCTGGGATTAAAGGCATGAGCCATTATATCCAGCTAAAGTATTTTCTTAAGAAAAGTAAATGAGCAGTATGATACAATGTAATACCTATATTTATTGTTCACAGGCCCTTTCTTTGTGACTTGCTTTGGTCTGTTTAGGTGAGTTGTTTGAGTATCTTGGGAAAGTTGTTTACCATATTGTCAATATGTGCTTTTAAGGTCTGTTATTTTGGGTGTTTGTCATTGTTTTTCCGTATAGTATTTTTGAATCTTTTGCAGATGAATGTGTACTTAAAATTTGTTGGTTGTGCAGTTATTGAAATCCTCAAGTTCATGTAAAAGAGTTTCCTTTAATATATAATTTGTTCAGTTACCTGCCATTGTTCTTTTTCTTGCATTTTTAAGACAAGGTCTCATCTCCTCACCCTGTGCTCCCTGGCTTTGATTTTAGAGTGATCCTCCTGCCTCAGCCACCTGGTTGCTGGGATTATAGGTTTTAGCTGTCACAGCTAGCTGGTTGTCTGTATTTCTTGTAATTCATGGCACAGCTCTCAAATTCTCTCTGCTCTTTCAAAGGACTCTGATTTGATTCTTTCATTCTTATTGGGTGGCTTATGATTGCCACTGACATACAAGGCATCTGATAGCCTCTTCTGGTTTCTGAGGGCAACCCCACCCTATGACAGTTACACACTTAAAGATGCAGCCTAAAATACTCAAATGTTTTATCTAATTTCTAAGTCTTACTTGTTTTGAGATGAACAAGGACACTTAAGGGATGCACATGGCTAGTAGCTAAGAGTTTCTGAAGCCTAGACCTACACTGCTTTGGAAGTAGAAGCAGGTATTGAATTTAAGGCCAGCTTTGTTTACAAAGCTTATTCAAGGCCTTTCTGGCTGAAAGAGGGGAAAAGGGTTCTGGGCAAGGACTTCCTAGTCTGACCAACAAACTTTGCTACTTAGAAAGTTAATTAGCTTGTCTGTGCATGAGTTTCCTGATCTAGAAATTGGTGAGAAGCACCAATCACAGGTTATTAGGAGAATGAATGAGCTAATAATGCTAACTAGTGTTTTCAAAAGATTTCTGCAGTTCTAATTTGGGAGTAGTTTGATAGTTGTTAAAAACAGAATATTGTCTTTCAAGGATCAGGAAGATGATTTTGTGTTAACACAAATTGAATTTTGTATAGTATAACTTGACGAAAATGGTTTTTCAATGTTAGATAATTTGTGAGAAACTTATTCGTTTGAAATGTTTAACTGTTGAGAAAAACTTAAGGATTTCTACTACTAGAGACATTTAAGTTTTCTGTTATGTTAATGTTTTTAGCTTATATATTAAATGTAGGGGGAAATGCCTGTCTACTTTTAAGGTGCCTGTGTGAAGGAATTAGGAAGAAAAGGTTGTAGGGAATTAAGAAAGGCAATACATTTAGGGAATAAAAAAAGGCAATACTTTTTTTAAAAAAATTATATATTTTATTTGCATGTACATCTGTACAACAGAAGAGGGCTTCAGAGTCCATGGCACTACAGTTCTAGATGGTCGTGAGCAATTGAACTCAGGATCTTTGTTAGAGCAGTCAGTGCTCTTAAATGCTCTCGCTCCCCTCAAAAATAGATAAGCATTTTGGAGTGAAGTAAGACAAAAATCAATATATATACACCCCCCCCCCCACACACACACATTGAAAGGTAAGTAGATACTTAAGTTTCTCTTAATTTTAGATAAATTTTTTTTAAATCTTAATTTTGTTTTACTGTTGTATCTATCTAACTGCCACAATAAAGTTTATGCCCATGAAAGTAATTGAGCTTTTTATTGTCAGATAGAAAATGCATACATAATGATTTTTGTACAAATTACTTGTGTGTATGTCTGTGTGTCTGTGCGTGTGTACACTCTAGTGCCTAAAAGCTGTGTGTGAGGGGGCAGCATGTACCTGTGTGCATGTGTGGATCCCATACCAATTCCTTTGAGGCAAGGTCTTTCTCTGAACCCTAGGGAACATGTTTTTCTGACTAGGATTAAAGACAGTAGTAGTAAACCTCAGCAGTTCTCCTGTTTCTGCCTCCTTGGGAGCCATGGGTGCTTGTGGTGGCCCCAGTTTGCTTTATGCATGCTAGGATCTAAACTTTGGGCCTCACGATTGCTTAGCAAGTGCTCTTAACTGCTGAGCCATCTCTCTAGCCTCTGTGTACAGACAGACGCCTTATCTTCTACACTCATAATTTCAGGGTTAAGCAGTCAAGGCTGGTGATAGGCACCTGTTTTCTCACCTACTTGGCAGTGGGTGTAGGAGGTGATCATGAATTCCAGGGGAGCTTCTGCTGCATAGCAAGATTGTTTCAGAAATTTGTGATTGGAAGAAGTACAGATAGATACTTGGTTTTTTCAAAAACTTGAAGGTTTTGTGGTGGCAGCAAGCATGCACTTTATCTTGTTCAAGGCAGCCAGATGGCTCCTCTGTGGGACAGACAATTGATGCTATTTTACAGCATCAAAATTAAATATAAATTAGTTTTGAGAGTGTTTTATGTGTGTATAAAACACACCAATCATAATTTACTTAGTTTTTTTTAAAGATTTATTTATTTATTATGTATACAACATTCCTGCAATGTATGTTTGT